TTTGATCAAAACTTATGTGAAGATTTACAAGTATGAGTTGAGAGAACATCGCGTTAGAAATTGGGGTAGTTCTGTATGGAGGAACAACGCTGCGTAACAACGTTACTTGGTATATGGTAACGTAAAATGACTTGATAAACTAAACAAATCGCGTGAAATCACACTTTCAGATTAAAGTTATTTCAGGGTATACCAAAATAATTCAATCGGATAAGACGTTAGTATATAGAATGCGTATGGACTTCCTTCTCCTCTCAAACATACCATGCAAGCCCATAATATAGGCATTTGGGCGATCGGACGTGACCGTTGACCGGATAGACACAACTCGTGGGGAAAATCTTATCTTTTGGGAAGTTATCCAATTCAAATATGTGCTAAACTATTCGAATAAATGGGCATTTATTGAAATAGTTGGGGTTCTCCAAAACCAAGCCTGTGTTGAACTATTCGAATAAATGCGCATTTATTCGAATAGTTCACTGTTTTAAGCCTCATTCGAGTATGTTTTTCACACGTCCGAAAATCACATATTTTAGACTCCGATTACAAAAATCCGAAGGATTTTCATACAGCGATAATGTCCAAAATAAAAAAATTTGGATATTCTTAGCTCGACCCCAGCCAGGGGGTCTGCCCCTTGGACCCCACTACCGGGGGCTGCCACCCCCGGACCCCGCCGTGGAATTTCTAATATCGTTGAATGAGCGTGCCCCCGGACCCCCGCCATACATTTGTCCATGAAACACTTGATTTGCTGGGATGAACAAATTAAAGCAAACTGATTTTCACCAAACAAACGAGGAGGATATAAAACTGGAACACTACAGCTCTCAGAACATCTCGTATGCACCGCATTTCTGTGTTGGAACACAAGTTTACGCCTACGTCGTACTAAACTATGTTCGTTTCTATGACAGGTTTTGATAATGTCAAACCGCCGTGACATAACAAGGCTAAAGAGAACAAAAACCAAGGCGAAGGAACATGGCATGATGGTTTGAGAACCAAGAACCAAGAATCAAGAACGAAGAATTAGAATTCTATTGAGTCGGTCTTAATGTGATCAAGACCGGCACAAACTTTCAAATCTTGGCTCTCTAGGCTTCTCTTATCAAATATCTTTTGCATATTCAAAAATGTTTCTCTTAAGTTTTAAACTGCCTAAAAACACTTGGAGTTCGCCCAAACCAAAAACCAAGCCATCCGGCGTTCGGTCTTCGGAAACCGGCGTTCGGCTTTTGGTTATCGGCATTGGTTTTTGGCGTCCTAACCAACCAAGTGGTTTTCAACTTTTAATGATTAGTTTTTACTTCTGGGCATGTTTAAATAGTTCTCCAACAAAAACGCTTCAAAAACCACCTTTCGTTTTTGGTCGTTTAGTGAAAACCATGCGAAACGGCGTAAACTTGGCTAGCCGTGGTTTTCAACTAAATGACGTGGTTTTCAAAATGTTTTACTTGATTTCTTAGCAAAATACAATAAACAAACATTTTCAATACTTGGTTTTTATTTTGGAGAACTTACATTTTTGACATCGGCTAACNTTCTCCAACAAAAACGCTTCAAAAACCACCTTTCGTTTTTGGTCGTTTAGTGAAAACCATGCGAAACGGCGTAAACTTGGCTAGCCGTGGTTTTCAACTAAATGACGTGGTTTTCAAAATGTTTTACTTGATTTCTTAGCAAAATACAATAAACAAACATTTTCAATACTTGGTTTTTATTTTGGAGAACTTACATTTTTGACATCGGCTAACGGCTGACTAAACCAACCTTGGGTCTGGCTAAACCAGCCCAACAGCAATGTTGGTGAAACCAACAGCGCTATCTGGCTTGGGTGGCTGAAAACCATGGTTTGGCGTTAAGTCTTCCAACAGCGATGTTGGATGTTAGACATCGCTGTTGAGCCAAGGTTGGATTTCCAGAAACTTCTAGAACAGCGATGTAGGCTTCCCTACAGCGCTGTCCGACCTAAGCCAAAAATATAGTGTATTGGCAGAAAGTTTCAGGACAGCGATGTTGACCCAGCAACAGCGCTGTCAGGCCAAACTTCCATCTTCAAAGTCAGACCTAAACAGCGATGTTCAAGTTATGAACATCGATGTAGGGACCTGACCGTTGGAAGAAATTTAAGGCTAAAACTTTCCTTGTTTGGAAGTCAACAGCCAAAACAGCGATGTAGGGGTATTGGACATTGCTGTTGGCATGACCGTTGCTTCCCAATTTTTAAAAACCAAGCCTAGAACAGCGATGTCCAAGCCTAGGACAGCGCTGTCTGGGTGAATTTCAGCAGATCCAAATTTAATCAAATCCCACAAATTGTGCCAATCACCCCTTAAATGTTTTGGTTCGTTGGAGCCTATTTTTCCACTATAAAATGGGGTGTTTGGGTCTTTTTTAATCATCACATTACTTCACAACTCCTACTCTTTCATTGCAAACCATTCTTCAATTATTCATAGCTTTTGAGAGCCATTTTTGTGAAGCTTGTGTTGTGTTCTTGAGCGTTCTTAGTTTACTCATTATCCACTCTAAAAGAGAGTATTGTTCTTGAGTGTTTTTAGTGTTTTTTAGACACTTGACAAGAGAAGGTATTTCTCTTGTTGTTCGAAGGAAGGGCTGTTTCCTTCGAAGGTTTGTTGAGGTTCGTGTGACTCGAATTCTCAAGTTGTACGGGTTTGTTAAGCACCGTTAAGCTTAACGAGATAGTAGTGTAGCTCGAGAGAGTCTCTCGGGAGGCTGGATTAGCCACAAGTTGTGGTGAACCAGGGTAAAATCGGTGTGCCTCTTTCTTTTCTCTTTACTTCTCGTTTATTCATTTTTATTCCTGTGATTTCTTGATCAAACGCTATTCACCCCTCCTCTAGCGTTGGTCTATTATTCTAACATTCTGCACATGCATTTGGTTCAGTTTGGTTATTGGTTTAATTCGATTTTATTTTTTCTAGTTTTGGTTCAGGTTTATATCAGTTCGGGTTTATGACAGTTTGGGTTTATAATTTATATCAATTCGAGTTTATGCTAGTTTCAGATGAGATCCTTTTGTATTAGGATTTTTATTGTTAGCCTTGTGTCTAGCTTCCCATCCCTATGTGTAAACGGGGCTACATATACAAGTGTTACCAATAATGGGCCAGTATAGGCTATAAATTTGTATATGCTCTATATAAAAATAAACAACTACCTTAGTTTAAGTGGTCAAATATAGAGTACGAGATTTGTATTTGAAAGTAATTGTACATAAACTACATATAATTCAAATATGCTTTTCTTAGAAAGACATCAACTAATGAGCTATTAGGTTTGACTAGATTCGAGCTTAGTTTGTTTTATATTTGATCAATATCGGGTCTAATTCGTTTTGGGTCTAAGACCATGCTCTCCTCAACTTATTCTTTTTTACTAATCCTTATTGGAATCAGATAAGAGATAAATTTAAATATAACTACGTTCAGATCAGATCAGATCAGAATTTATTCCAATCATATCACAAGTATTTTGATCATGTGAAGAAAAAATAATCTAATCAATTTTGGGTCTAATCGATTCCAAGCTTAACCGATTCTGAAATAATTGAATTTCAATCTGAATTCGATCTGAATACATTTGGTTTGGTTTTGGTTCGGTTGGGATCATTTTGAGTCATTTCAGATTTTGTTCCAGGTTATTCAATACGGGTTATCAGGTCCGAGTTTGTTTTGTCAGGTCTAATTTTTCTAGTCCGCCACTATTGAGCCAGTGACACAAGTTCATGTTCGTTTAGTTGAGGCTAAATCATTAATCTATCTATTCGATTCAAAAAAGCCCTAAATTCATGAACTGAACATCCTCAATTTATTCAAGACAATTTTTAAGAGATATTCACCCAATTTAAAATGTCCAGTTCTAGACTTTGAAAATAGTATTGCGCGAATGAACGTGATCAATAATATTTGGTATAAACACATCGATGGATATCGAGCCCAATAAATATAAGACCGGCCCAATGCATTATTACAACATTGGTGTAGAGTGGGCTGATGGGAGAGTCATATGAAAGCTTAGGCCTGGGCATGGATGAGCTTGCAAAGAGGTGGTCGTCAATCCCACATATCGTGGGTGATTAATGACTGATTCTCTGCCCATATAGCCCCCGATCAGATCAATCATGGCAAGAAACCAGACAATAATAAATTACCATATGGCATATACGTTGTATTATGTAAACTATAAATAAGCCATAACACCTCCACTTTAAAATCAAACTAGACTAAGCTAATAGATGCAATAGCGAGCGATCATATTTCGAGAATTTTTGTTATTATTCTTATTATTGTTCTTCGTGCATCCGTAGTTGGTGGGCTGAAATCCATCACCCATCAAATATTTAACTTCAATATTGGGTTGTGCATTTTTATTTAAATGCCTTATAAACAGAAAAGTTATATGCATGAATAGTCCATGTGGTCTTTCGTAAATGGATAAATAGTTCTCGAACTTTCAAAAGATGCAACAAGAGAGAGAGAGTGGAGTTGCTGGCCTTTTAAAAGTCAATATTCAACAAATTTTGGGCATTTGGTGTTGAATTAGTGGAACTGCAGAATCTAACCCTTGGAGAACAAGAGAGAGAGATTGGAGTTGCTGGCCTAGTTTCAGTTGGCCATTGCCAACTTGTTGTGCCGCAATACTCTTGAAAATAAAGGGAGCTGTTTCCTCGCTGTTGAATCGAGGTCAAAGACGGCAGCACCAGCCTAATCGCACAAGCAATTTAATTCACTGTCCATCTTTCCTTTTGGGATAACTATGACCTCGGTTGTTGATAAAATTATCTTGACAATTGAGGATGCTTTGGACAAGCTTATTGGTGTGTTGAAAAATATCTTTTATGGAAGAGTTGATTTTCATGACGGAGTCTGTATAGCTTATGATCATGTGGATGAAATTTTGAAGACGCTCCACTTATTTCGTCATCTTTTAGATCTACCGTATTCTGATTCTGAGTTATATGCGTTCAATGTGGAAATCTCTTGCTCGATACAAGATTTGGTGCGTGGTACTCCAATGGCATTGAGTGATATTCCCTTGGAGTTAAAAAGTTTCAAAACAAAGATGATGGGCGCTATAAGGAATCTTCTCGGTGTTCCCATTGCTCCACCTGATCTGGCCCCTACAACCACTCTACACAATCCTACATCTAAGGACATGGAATCTGTGGAGCATACTGTTCGTAATTCATTGCGAGTTCCTGAAGCTGCTGATGATGGTGTTTCTGTTGAAGGAATTGTTAATGCCTTTCCATCAGATCTTGTAGATGTTGATACACCCGTAGATGCACCAGGTAAGGGGGAAGCTGCAAAGGATCAAACATTGAGCAATGTCATCATCGCATCTAGCCTTGTATCTCCGTCCAAAACCGCACAAGTAGCAGATGTGAATTATACACAAGCGGAAATCTCACTCTCCTTTGATATCATCTAGTCCTTTGGCCATGCGAATATAGTGGAGTCTGAGTATTGGGTTTCACCACAAGTAACTAAGTTTGTATTTGCTCTTTTCTCTTATGTCCATCGCTATACGCCAATTTGCAGGCTTAATGAAGATCTGTCATCAAGTGGCCAGAAGCATGAGTGGGAGCCTCCACTTTGAGGACAAGGTGGTTTTCTAAGGGGGTGAGAGTGTTATGGATAGTAGAGTAGGTTATTTAATATTATTATTATTATTATTATTATTATTATTATTATTATTATTATTAGTGTAATTTAGGTTTTATTAGGTGAGCGAAATTATAAGCTCCTTCAAGGTTTCTTTACGGTTCTTTCCCTCGTCGCTTTTATTGAACCGTCAGGTTAGGTTTATGATTAGCTAGGGTTTCCTTGTCTCCTATAAATAGAGATGTAACCTCATTTAGAATAATCAATCAATAAACAACTCAAACCCTAATTCCTTCTTCCCTCTCGGTTCGCCGATTCCCTCCCTCGCCTCAATTCTTCTTCTTCTTCCTCGTCCCATATTCTCAAGAGCTCGAAGACGCTCCGAGTCTTCCCTATCCGATACGAGTTCGTATCATTGGTGCTTTCATTGATTTTGACACCCAAAAAAATTAAAAAAAAAATAATCTGTTCTTGCCGTTCTGCTCTTTGAAATCGAAGCTCCAGATGAACGCAACAAAATCCTAATTCCTTTGGATGTGATTGAATATTGAGAGCCAGCCATTCCAGATCTGTTTGTGTGAATTTTCACGCCGACGAGAGAAAACCAGGATTGCTAGGCCTGAGCTTTACCTCTGCCGCTGAACACAATCGGCCGTTCCAAATCTGTTTGGTGCTTTTTGTTGGAAAAAAAAAGAAAAAAAGAATTGCAGCCTTGTTGACGGCGGAACAGATCAATTTGCGGGAGTAGCAACACTGTTCTCGTAAATCAAGAACACAAAGCCACTGCCGCTAGTTTGTTATCCGCAACCCTTCTGTTTAATCAAGATTGAAAAAGACAACGTTGAACCTGCAAGGCCGTCACTGCCGCATCCCAATTTCTACAAAGCTCGAAGATGCATATCATGTTTTATTGTGCCATATATCCATAGGGTTAAAAGTCAATATTCAACAAATTTTGGGCATTTGGTGTTGAATTAGTGGAACTGCAGAATCTAACCCTTGGAGAACAAGAGAGAGAGAGTGGAGTTGCTGGCCTAGTTTCAGTTGGCCATTGCCAACTTGTTGTGCCGCAATACTCTTGAAAATAAACGGAGCTGTTTCCTCGCTGTTGAATCGAGGTCAAAGACGGCAGCACCAGCCCAATCGCACAAGCAATTTAATTCACTGTCCATCTTTCCTTTTGGGATAACTATGGCCTCGGTTGTTGATAAAATTATCTTGACAATTGAGGATGCTTTGGACAAGCTTATTGGTGTGTTGAAAAATATCTTTTATGGAAGAGTTGATTTTCATGACGGAGTCTGTATAGCTTATGATCATGTGGATGAAATTTTGAAGACGCTCCACTTATTTCGTCATCTTTTAGATCTACCGTATTCTGATTCTAAGTTATATGCGTTCAATGTGGAAATCTCTTGCTCGATACAAGATTTGGTGCGTGGTACTCCAATGACATTGAGTGATATTCCCTTGGAGTTAAAAAGTTTCAAAACAAAGATGATGGGCGCTATAAAGAATCTTCTCGGTGTTCCCATTGCTCCACCTGATATTGCCCTTACAACCACTCTACACAATCCTACATCTAAGGACATGGAATCTGTGGAGCATACTGTTCGTAATTCATTGCGAGTTCCTGAAGTTGCTGATGATGGTGTTTCTGTTGAAGGTATTGTTAATGCCTTTCCATCAGATCTTGTAGTTGTTGATACACCCGTAGATGCACCGGGTAAGGGGGAAGCTGCAAAGGATCAAACATTGAGCAATGTCATCATCGCATGTAGCCTTGTATCTCCGTCCAAAACCGCACAAGTAGCAGATGTGAATTATACACAAGCGGACATCTCACTCTCCTTTGATATCATCTAGTCCTTTGGCCATGCGAATATAGTGGAGTCTGAGTATTGGGTTTCACCACAAGTAACTAAGTTTGTATTTGCTCTTTTCTCTTATGTCCATCGCTATATGCCAATTTGCAGGCTTAATGAAGATCTGTCATTAAGTGGCCATAATCTTTGGGTCAATATTTTCTCTCTTGTCCAGAAGCATGAGTGGGAGCCTCCACCTTGAGGACAAAGTGGTTTTCTAAGGGGGTGAGAGTGTTATGGATAGTAGAGTAGGTTATTTAATACTCCCTCCGTTTGCAAAAAGACTTCCCATTTTGATTTGGGGGTAAAAATAAGGAAGTGTTAAATTATATTTGATTTCCAATTTTGCCCCTGATGTGATGGGTAAAAGTAAGATGTGATGGATAGATTATTAGAGAAAAAGTATGATGTGATAGGTAGGGTATGAAAAAGTAAGGGTAAAAGTGGTTTTTTAATAGAAAAGTGGAAGTGTTTTGTTGGAAGTGGAAAAAATGAAAGAGGAAGCGTTTTTGAGAACGGAGGGAATAGTATTATTATTATTATTATTATTATTATTAATGTAATTTAGGTTTTATTAGGTGAACGAAATTATAAGCTCCTTCGAGGTTTCTTTACGGTTCTTTCCCTTGTTGCTTTTATTGAACCGTCAGGTTAGGTTTATGATTAGCTAGAGTTTCCTTGTCTCCTATAGATAGAGATGTAACCTCATTTAGAATAATCAATCAATAAACAACTCAAACCCTAATTCCTTCTTCCCTCTCGATTCGCCGATTCCCTCCCTCACCTCAATTCTTCTTCTTCTTTCTCGTCCCATATTCTCAAGAGCTCGAAGACGCTCCGAGTCTTCCCTATCCGATACGAGTTCGTATCATACAAACTTCTCATTTTCACACAGTACACACATCTTATGTGTGTTTCTCATTTTTCTTAAAGAATGACTAATTATGCATCAATCCTTTGACTACAGGGACTATTTTACAACTTTTAAAAATACAGAGATTTAATTATTTATGAAAGATCACATATACTATTTGTGCATATAACTCTAATTAGATTTAGATGGAATAAAAGATTATTTAATTATATGGAGTACTTATATGTTGAGCTACCGCATGTGTAGCTCAACTGGTCCAAGAAGAAGATGTCAAACCAGTTGATCCTAAAATTGAATTTCGGCAACGGCAGTGTGGGAGTTCTATTATTTGTAGTAGCTTTTTGTACGCACAGAGTTCAGATCGGCCTCTCTAAAGACCAGACGATTGAGATATATTATGCCATGATTTACTCCACTCACAATTCTGTCGTGCCGAGGTGTGGGGCGCGTGAAATGGCATTCCACCTTTATATTTTGGATAAAGCTATTTGTACCCCAAACTTTTGTAGCACATTTGTACACCGCAGGTTTGCACTGACATTTTGTGTTGATGTAAAACTAATTTTTGTTAACGCACCAACACTTTGTGTACGTGTAAATTTTTAATAACGCACCAACACTTGTGTCAGTGTAAACCATCAAAATATTTATGTATAACTATAGTGTACAAATGGGGTACAATTTTTGGTGTAAGTACAGCATGACCCTTATATTTTGCTTAAGGGTTAGATGCATGTTTGAAGTATTTGGTGATAATGTTCAAAGCACAATTGACGTAACCCAGGAAGACAAGCTAAGATAAGCCGAGTGAAGCAATGCAAAATCTCCACGATTGTCCGTCCATTATATATTACCCCGTGGCCACACTGTTGGTTCATCTCCGGTCCGGACCCACCCCTCTATTATTGCCCGCCAATTGCTTCCCACTTATTGGCTCCCTCCATCATTTTTAGGCTGAACCATTGCTCTTCATGCATCATCATCAATTCCACTCTGCTTTTTTTACTTTTCCAAAAAGATTAAAATTATCTCAATTTTTTCCTTCTTTTTTTCTTTTTGGTGTTTTGAAATTAAAATGGAGTTTTTATTTTTTAATAAAATAAAAATAGCAGGAGAATTAGGATAGGGGATGGGCTGGATGACATAGTAAAAGAGCATCGTGGGACCCACCACTCATATTTAATTTGTTTATAATTATATTATGTCCTTGTGGACGGATCCATCAAGAAAACGAGTACACGGAGTTTCTTAATTACGTAATAGTACAATATACTCCGCATTATTTGTATTAATTAAATAATAATATTAGTATTAATCACTCCAAAGGAATAAAATGAAATGAACTGTACGTATGTACGTCATGTGGACCATGTATATATAAGTCTCCATTGGCAGCAATGTTTAATGTTTTTAAAGAGCATTAAGGTTTCGTATTAATTTTTAATGTTAAAGATTAATTTCAAAAATGTTAAAGTTAAATGGTATCGTTTTATGTTTTATTATTTGGCTAGATTCAAAACGATAGATTTGAATAGGGTCATCTTCGAGAAATCAGGGGCTTGCATTGCCGCTTGCACGACGACGTAGAGAACATAGACCCTTATCTCATAGCGAAGTAAATTTTTTGAACAATAACAAACATTATGACGATAAGAATAATAAAATGTCAAACTCATAGTATATATATACAGAAAAAATTGGGGCCCATTCGAAAACGGACCCAAGCCGGATGACCACCTGGCCCATGCGTTGCCTTTGGTTTTAAACGTTGAAATTATTACCAAACAAACATTCAAAAAAATAATTTTATCAATTCTGATTTTCAACTACTGCTTCTCAATCTCTTTAAAAAAATATGATATTTTAAAATTATATGGTGAATGTTTACAAACAAATCTGTGCATATTAAATTTTTATTATAATGTAATATTTATTTTAATAATTAAAATTTAAAAACACAAAAAAAGAGTCAAATGAAAACAAAATATTTCCAAAGGGAGGGGCTAATAATGATATGATGGATGGAGTAGCAAATTCAAAATACTTGAATTGCACGTACAAACATAACAATATAAAAGTTGGTCACTATTGAACAAACTTTCCTCATTCCAATCTCTATATAAAGACCTCCCAACCCCTCTTCATTTCATTCATCCCATCCATTCAACAATTCTTCTTTATTACACACATATATATAGTACTCAATCATATACATATATATACCACCGCCCTAACTCCGGTATCGACAACTGATCGATCAGGTGGTTTTGGCCGGCCGCCGGTGATCAATCCATATAAATACTAAAGGCCATTTTCAAGTAGTATTATCTATATAGCCATGGCTCTCTTGGGTGGTCATTTGGCTTTTATCTTTGGAGTTCTTGGAAACATAATCTCATTCATAGTCTTCCTCTCTCCATTGTGAGTACTACTTTTATTATGTTACTGGAGTATTACGTAAATAAATCAAAATGACATATTAAGCTTAATTTGTTTCTCCGTTTCTACCAAATTATGGTATAATGAAATAGTCGCTTCGTTTGTATACAGGCCAACGTTCTATCAAATACGAAAGAAGAAATCCGCAGAAGGGTACCAATCGATACCCTACGTGATCGCGTTATTCAGCTCAGTTTTGTGGATATACTACGCGCTCCTCAAGTCGAACGCCACCCTTCTCATAACTATAAACTCCTTCGGTTGCTTCATTGAAACTATATACGTCAGCTTCTACATCTACTATGCCACCAAGAAGGCGAGGGTGCAGACGCTGAAGATGCTCATTTTGACTGTGTTTGTGGGATTTGGCGCAGTCGTCCTCGTTTCTCAGTTCCTCTTCAAAGGTGCTGTCCGTGCCCAAGTTGTCGGTTGGGTTTGCCTCGTTTTCTCCCTCTGTGTTTTCGTTGCCCCTCTATGCATTGTGGTACGTTGCAGTCTTGTATTATATCGACTTGTAATGATTCGTTGAACATAATTCAACTCATATGAGGTAAGCTAATGTATATATGTTGTTCTGCTCTGCAGAGGCAAGTGATCAAGACAAAGAGCGTGGAGAACATGCCAATTTTGCTATCGGTCTTCTTGACATTCAGTGCTGTCATTTGGTTCTTCTATGGCTTGCTCTTAAAAGATGTAAACATAGCGGTAATTAATTTCAACACACTAAATTTGTAAAACTGATGATATTCGATTGAATTCAATTTTTTAGTGCTGATCATGCGTTGATTATTATGCACAGGTTCCAAACGTTCTGGGATTCTTCTTCAGTATCCTCCAAATGGTGCTTTACATGGTGTACAAGGAGAAGAAGAAAAGCATTGATGACGGGAAGAAGCTTCCCGAGCAAGTATTAGTACCGCAGAAGGGACAACCGCCTGTGGTACTAGTGTTAGAGTCAGACGGAAAAATAACCGCTGCAGGATCAGAGCTGATCACACAGGAACAACTGGCGGACATTGTCAAACTCGGATCGCTCATCCGCTCTGACAAGATTCGTTTTGAAACGGTCAATGAGCAGGCAGCGACGGAGGTACAGATTGCCATCCCTGCCGCTGGCTGCGTAGCGGTCAACTGAACGCTAGTGAAATTCACATATACGTACTTTCATATTTTACGTCAAATGCATGCATGCATGCAGATTTCTTTTATGTATGTTCTCATTTTTATGAAAAACTAGCCAGGATATAGCCAGCTAGTTTAATTGAATACGGAGTATATTTGTGTTTCTTTGAATTTCATGTTACTTCTTCAATATATCTTTCGAGTTTAATTAATGAAGATTTATATATTACTTTGTGGTTCAAAATGAATTTAAGCCGGCCACCTGCTATTTAATTTCTTGCTTATTTCTCTCCTTACAATAAACTATCAAGTCCCAGCAGCTGCAATGAAAACAAGCAATTGTCTGAAAATATTACGTAAAATTAACATGTGAATTAAGTGAAGATAAAATTACGTTTAGTTTCTTGATTTGGGTATATAAAATTTTTATTTTATGTAACAGAAAACGGTAGTAGAAAAGGAAAGGGATCTAACTGCAGGCCACGAGGAGTTGATGGTTAGTTAAATTTGTCTTTGGGTATAAATAATTTCACGAGGCTTTGTCCCGATTAATATGTGGAGTATATGACAATTGGTTAAACTGGTTCGTTGCCTTTCCATAAGGAGAATTTGCCGTTATTTTATGGTATAGAAGCCAAACGTATGTAACCCTTGAAGATGATGAGCACTTTATTGCCGTTAAAGGAGGGAAGGAGGGAGG